CTCTTAGAGCAGAGGTAGGGAACATCCAGCCCGCAAGGCCATATAAGGCCCATGAATTCGCTTGGTCTGACCCTGCCAAGGCATTAGGGGTGAGTTAATTAAATGTTTGACCAAATATAGCAGGCTACTTTTTAAGTGGGCCCACAAATGATGTTATAACTATCCAAATGGCCTTTGGCAGAAAAAAGGTTTGCCACCCCTGTCCTAGAGTGATGAATGTCAAACATGGACCAGTTTATCCTTATATTGGATGAAAAAATATTTCCTCTAACTTTCACCCATGGATCCTATTTGGTGCCATACCGAGAGAGATGTTTTCATTCTTTCATCTGTTAGTCCTCCAGTTTTTTGGAGGCCATTATCTTTCCCTTCCTCATTTCCTTATTCCTGTTGAGATTTTTCTCCTCTGGGCTAGTACTTATGTACCTTCGAACCCTCCTCACCCACCACCACCACCCTTTAACATATTAGTTGCTTCACTCAAAATGAATTTCAGATTGTGTATATCCTCTTTTATAGTGTAGTACACCAAACCAAACACAATATTCCATGGACAATCTGAGTAGAACTAAGGAAGCACTAAAAGCAGCACCACCACTTACCTGCCTCGTTCTAGTTTTTGTTCTATCAACACAGAATAGGAGCATGTTAGCTTTTTTGGCAGCCATATTATACTGCTGGCTCAAATTAAGCATATAAGTTACCCCAAGTCTTTTCACACATATTTTTGAGCCACTTTCCCTCCAATCCATTTCTTCCTCAAATGTATTTAAACTCAAATGTAAAAACTTATCACTTATCACTTATCTTAAATTTCAGTTTTGCATTTTATCCATCAATTATAAGAGCGTTATTGTGGCAAGTTACTCAAATGTTCCCCTCTGACTGCAAAGATTTGAACTTGAACAAAGCAATGCAAAAAGCAAAGAGGAACATCTACAGGACAGTAACTTTGGCAATGCCCTTTTTCTAAATAGTGTATAACTCAACCAGATGGATTTTCACTTACTTAGGCACAAAAGAAGCAGGGACTCCATTGGCCACCAGGGGCTCAAATGCTGAATGTCCACTCCCACTGCTATCATGGCGCCTGTGATAAATCAAAAAACTCTCAATTAAATGAAATGACTTTTTCCCCCCCTTAAAGCATATTCCTGGGACCATGTACTATTTCTATGGAGCACAGGTCCCATGCTAGACAAGAAAAAGGTTGCTTCAAATCCCAAAGATTCCAAAAGGTAAATTTATTCTAAGACTGTCTGGCAATAAGGAAAGTATAAAAATACAACAGATCCTTGAATAACATGATATCATTCAGTGTCATTTTATTATAATGTTGATGAGATGCCATAGGAATTTAACTATTGTTTATATCAATTAGCCTAGGGGAAAACTGATTTTGTTATATATTGTCACAGTTTAAAAGAACCTATCAACAATGTTAAGTGAAGACTTACTCTACATCAAGACCTTTAGAACTATTCAGTGTATTAATTATTATTTTTTTTAAATATATTTTACTGATTTTTTACAGAGAGGAAGGGAGAGAGATAGAGAGCCAGAAACATCGATGAGAGAGAAACATCGATCAGCTGCCTCCTGCACATCCCCCACTGGGGATGTGCCCGCAACCCAGGTACATGCCCCTGACCGGAATCGAACCTGGGACCTTTCAGTCCGCAGGCCGACGCTCCATCCACTGAGCCAGACCGGCCTCGGCAGTGTATTAATTATTATAATCACAAATTTAACACCCTACCATCCACAGATTAAAAACAAAAGAAAAAACACTTTAGGAACCAATCCACACATCCCATAGCGATCTAGAGGTTAATATGGCAAGTCTGTTAGGGAAAAACTTTACATCTCACATTTAAGAAGGGTCTATGCATGATGCACATAATCATCGATTATTCCAATTATGGGAAGGATAACTACAGAATCTTCAGTTATAGACTCACTAGCTAGGTCAAGTAAAACTACCCATCCCTAAAAACATGAAAAACCTACTGGGACCATAAGAATAGTTATTTCCTCTCCCACCTCCACACCCCCCGCCTC